CAGTATAAGCCCTTGGTTAAAATTAAGACTTTTTCCTAACTTTTTGACAAGAGTAACTTTTTCATGGTATATACGTTTACCTCCTAACTCTGTTTTTAATTGGCCACAGATGGAGGAGTTATTTCATAATTAGTTCTACCGCACGGAGATAGAACCAACTCTAGCCGATTTATGCAGGCTGAGCCAATTGCCTAGTGAATCGGTCGAGACATTAATTGCAAGGTTTAGAAGGGCAAGATTAAGATGTCGTGTACCTCTTCCAGAACAGGAGTACATCCATCTAGCTTTGAATGGCCTTGATTTTGAATTTCGAAAGAGGTTTGAAGGAGTCCCATTTCGTGACATGTATAACCTGGCTGAGAAAGCTACCAGGTATGAGTTGGTCCTCAAGGAGGAAAAGGAACGAAAGAATTCCTCGAAAGGTACGTACTATAGGGATCCCAATTATGAAGTTTTTTTAACCGATGTGGTTGAGGAAGAAGATTTTGATTCTAATCTTGCTGAACTTATTATTAAGAAACCTTATGTATGTGAGGCTTTGTCAAAACTGAAGGCATCTACCAGTGGTACTCAGCCATTAACTTCATCGACCAGGAAGGGTACGGCCGATACTGGTAAGGTTTATACGTTTAACTTGGCCAAGACAGAACAAATTTTTGATCATTTGCTGGCCGACAAACAAATTGCTCTGCTAAAAGGACACAATATACCATCAGCCACTGATTTAAAAGGAAAAGAGTTCTACAAATTTCATTATTCATGGAATCATACTACTAACAATTGTTATGTATTTAGAAATGTATTACAGAAAGCAATTGATGAAGGTGTATTGAAATTTCCTGAAAAAAAGCCAGAAGTGATGGGGATTGATGGTGATCCATTTCCTAATATTATAAATACCAACGTTATCAGCCTGGTAACTGAGAAAGCCACAGATAATGGTAGATAAGAAAGATCACCAAAAGTTCTTGATAGTTCGTCATCGGTCAGCAGTGCTGAATAGAGGGTAAAGGACTTGGAAAATCAGTTGAGAGAAGCTCAAATTGCCCTCATCAACCACGGTTGTTGCCCAAAATGCAAAGGCCGTGGGGATAATCAGGACAAGAAGAGTCATTTTCAATCAACCAGGAAGCGCAGTGTCCATGAGAGGTTGGGTTTTCAGCCTAGACATAATCATGAAGAAATCAATCGGCCATTATTCAGAGAGAATGGGCCGAGGTTAGTGAGAATTATTCGGCCAGAAAGATCTGTGGCCGATAAAGTTCTGTCAGAACAACCTTTTTATCCTAGTTTCAAAAGGAAACCAGCAATCCAGTCAGAAATATAGGTTCAAAAAGGGAAAGAATCTAGCCGTGTAAGAACGGTCAGACCTCTTTTGGTTGATCATGGTAGATGGACTCGAGTATATCATCCGAAATTTCCTAAGCAGCCTCCTACACGTACTCAAAAGAAGAGGATACAAAGGAAAAATGCAGAACTTAAAAGGAAATAGGATAAAATTGACCAGGTTCAGCCAGCTAAGGAAGATGAACTAAATGAGGCCGAAGACATGGAGGTTGCTATAACTTTTGGGAATGAGACATCCTTTTATGAGGAGAAAGATGATCAGCCAGATCAAGATCCCAAGCATGCGGCCAAGTACAGAATTCGTTTTGGCTTTCTTCCGGATGAGGTAAATTGTAACATGGTATTTGTTTTACCCTCTATTTTTGAAGCAAGGACAGGGCCAATGATGAATAGGGATGTCAAATTAGCCAAACTTGAAAAGGAGGCTGAATCATCAGTAATCAAGAATGACTCGAAGAGTTCATCGGCCAGGGTAGGATTGGTCTCTCCAGGCCAAACAACTGAGGCCGATAAAATCATCTTTGAGAAACCACCTTTGGCCATGACACAACAATTGAGGCCATTGTATGTTAAAGTATGGGTTGAAGGTCAGCTAATTAATAGGGTGTTGGTTGACAATGGTTCGGTGGTAAATGTCATTCCAGCAACTACTTTGAAGAAATTGGACAAAACCATGGATGATGTGGTTCCAACCGATGTGGCCATCAGTGGTTTTATGGGGATCTAGTAATACCAAAGGTATTCTGCCTTTGGAAATTATTATTGGTGGCAAAACATCTTTCACAGCCTTCTTTATCATTGATTCAACTGCGGCCTATAATCTCCTTTTAGGCCGAGATTGGATTCACCCTAATATGTGTATCCCATCAACTTTGCACCAAATGTTGATTTTTTGGGATAGAAATAAAGTAAAAATTGATAAGGCTGATAACAAACCCTTTATAGCCAGGGTGTATTTGGCCGAAGCTTCACTTTATGACGAAACTATTGTACCTATCAAGTTTGTAGGCATCAACAGGATGGGTCGACTAGCAGCAGCAATAATAAAAAAGAACTTGATTAATACTAATATTGAAGAGTTACTGACAGCTCGGTCGAAAATTGATATTTTCAGGTCGACCATCAAAGAAATTGAAGATGTTTCTGATGGATCACACGACTAAAGAAGAAATGAAGCGGCAAGCTTTCTGGGCCGCTTATATAAGACTGAAAGCATATTTGGCTGAAAAAAGATTGGCCAAAGAAGAACTGTTATATGAAGAGGTATCGGCCAGCACGGCCGATATAGTTCAAGAAGGTTTTGAAAAATTAGATGTAATCTAAATTGAAGATCTGGAGTCAGCCCCTTCCAGGATGGAAGATAATAAAGCAAAAGTGCAGGATCCCTTATTAGAAATTAATGTTGGTACTGAAAAAGATCATCGGCCATTATTTATTAGTGCTTTGCTTGAGCCTAATTTTCAGGCCGATTTGATCAAGTTACTAAAGGAATATAAGGATTGCTTTGCTTGGAGTTATGAAGAGATACCTGGCTTATCAAGGGAGTTGGTAGAACACATATTACCTATCAAGAAAAATTTTCAGCCTTATAAACAACCACCAAGAAGGATGTCCTTGGAAGTGATGCTCAAAATTAAAGAAGAAATTGAAAGACTTCTTAAGGCGGGATTATTCGAATAGTTAGGTATGTAGAATGGTTGTCTAATGTTGTTCCAGTAATAAAGAAAAATGGTAAACTTAGGATTTGTGTGGATTTTCGTAATTTAAATATTGCCACTCCAAAAGATGAATATTCAATGCCAATGGCCGATCAATTTATTCATTCAGCTGCTAAGCATGAAAGATTGTCTTTTATAGATGGCCATTCAGGTTATAATCAAATCTATATAGCTGAGGAGGATATTCACAAAACGGCTTTTAGATGTCCAGGGTCAATTGTGATACCATTCGGCCTGAAGAATGCAGGGGCTACTTATCAAAGGGCAATGAATTCAATCTTCCATGATATAATTGGCCGATTTATGGAAGTTTACATAGATGATGTAGTTGTGAAGTCATCGGCCAAAAAACAACATTTGGAACACCTAGAAAAGGCCTTTCAAAGGATGAGAGTCCATAAGTTGAAAATGAACCCATTAAAGTGTGCTTTTGGGGTATCAGCCGGGAATTTCTTGGGATTTTTGATACACAAACGAGGCATAGAAGTTGACTAGAATAAGGCCAAAGCTATTATGAATGCTATGGCTCCAACCAACAAAAAACAGGTGCAAAGGTTTCTCGACCAAGTAGGTTTTCTTAGAAGGTTTATTTCTAATCATACTGGCCGATTACATGCTTTTTCTCCTTTATTAAAATTGAAGTCAAATGAGAAATTTCATTGGGATGAATCCCATCAGAAGGCTTTTGACAAAATAAAAGAGTATTTGGCAAACCCCCCTGTAGTAATGCCTCCAAGGAAAAAATAGCGGTTGAAGCTTTATCTATCGGCTGCGGAAGAATCAATTGGTAGCATGTTTGCTCAGAATAATGAACTAGGGAAGGAACAAGCTATTTATTATTTAAGTAGAGTACTAACTAATGTTGAATGCAAATATTCTTCAATTAAGAAACTTTGTTTATCTTTGTATTATTCAGCCATGAAATTAAGAATATATATGCGGCCGATTGATGTTTACATTATTTATCAAAATAACGTGATTAAATATATGCTATCAAGGCCATTGATCATTGGCTGAATAGGTAAGTGGGTATTGGCCTTGATGGAATTTAATTTTATTTTTGTCCCACAAAAATCAGTTAAAGGAAGGGTTCTGGCTGATTTCTTAGCCGATCATCTTTCAACTGATATTGATCACAGGTGTATGATGAATTGGAGTCATCAGCTATATTCCTAACTCCTTGGATATTGATGTTTGATGGATCGAACACCGTCAATGGAGCAGGGGCAGGTATTATTATCATTTCACAAGCTAGGAGAAAGACTTCATTTTCATTCTTCTTAGATTTCAAATGTTCAAATAATCAGGCCGAATATGAAGCACTTATAATCGGCCTGGAAATTCTAATTGAAATGGTTGTTGGGGATGTTAAGATTTTAGGAGATTCAAACTTGGTACTAAGTCAAATTACTGAAGATTTCAAATGTTTAAGTTGGCAATTAAGGCCGTTTCATTCTCTGGCCACTTCATTGTTGAATCAATTTAATATTGTTCAACTTAAGTTCTGGCTGAGAGGACAGAATAAGAAGGCTAATAACATGGCCCAAGCAGCCTTTGGAATCAGAGTACCAATTGGAATGGAGGATCGGTTGATAAAAATCACACGAAGATCATTACCTTCGGTTGAATTAAGAAATACTATGTTAGCTGACTCCTGGGTAATTGATATAGAAGATCTGGCCGATGATGATTGGAGGATACCATTCATAATGTTTCTCCGAAATCCAAACATAAAAAGTATCAAAAGAAGAGCAATCAACTTTTTACTTTTTGATGGGGATTTATACAGAAAAGGCCTTGAAGATGGACTTTTACTACAATGCATAAAGTCCGAGGTGCATGAAGGCCGAAGTGCATGAAGGCAGCTGTGGAGCCCACCAAGCTAGGATAAAGATGAGATGGTTGATTTGAAGGTATGGATATTATTAGCCAAGGATGAGAAAGGATTGCATAGATTATGCAAAAGGGTGTCAAGCCTGTCAAACACGTAGGCCGATTCAAAATATACCAGCAAAAGAATTACAGCTAATAATCAAATTATGGTCGTTCAGAGGTTGGGGCCTTGACCTTATAGGTAAAGTTAATCCACCATCAAATGAAGGCCATCACTGGGTGATTGTTGCCACAGATTACTTTACTAAATGGGTTGAGGCTAAGGCTTGCAAAACGGTTGATCAACAAACAGTGATTAACTTCATGGAACAACATATTGTCTATAGATTTGGAGTTACAGAAACATTTGTTTCAGATAATGCAACAGTGTTCAGGGCAGTTGATGTGCTACAATTTGGCCATAATATGAATATTCATATGTCAGCCTCTACACCATACTATACCCAAGCAAATGGTCAGGCCGAGTCCTCAAACAAAATTTTGATAGAGATCATTGAAAAAATGATCAAAGATAAAGTAAGAAGATGGCATGAGACTTTATCTGAGGCTCTATGAGCCTATAGAAATTCAAAGAGAACAGGCACAAGGGTTACACCATATATGTTGACTTATGGCCATGATGCTGTTTTGCCGATGGAAGTGAAGGTTAGATCGGCCAGGGTCGCATTCCAAAATAATTAAACTCCGGCTGATTATACTCAAGCAATGTTAACAGAGTTGGAAGACTTGGATGAAGTTAGGCTGGATGCCTTGAATCATATTATAGCTCACAAAAGAAAGGTAATGAAGATCTACAATAAAAGGGTAAAACCTAAGCCTTTTGCTGAAGAAGACTTGGTTTGGAAAGTCATTCTGCCAGTAGGTAAGGTTGATAGAAAATATAGAAAATGGTCTCATAAATGGGAAGGGCCATATCTAGTTCATCAAGTCCTAAGTGGAGGAGCATACAGGCTGAAGTATCTTAGTGGCCGATTGCATGATTATCCCATCAGTGGCAAATACCTTAAGAGGTATGTGCCAACAATCTTTGAAAGGGAAAATTAAAGTCAACCAGTACCTTTGGCTGACCATGTGTAATAAAATTCGGCCTATTTATAGTCTAATATAGTTATTTAAATTTTAAATAAAAAGAAATTCTTATTGAAGTATTGATGATTGTTTAAAGCAGCAAAAGAGGCCATTTATTTATTAAAGTGTAGAAGGATTACATCATCTGAGTTCATTGAGATACCCCTCAGATCCGAGACACGGGTTGATCAAGCCCAGGCCCAAACCCGAGGGAATATCAAACAATTATTATTTTATAATGAACACGGAATACAAAATAAATTAAGAAATGAAATTAAAGCTGGAAGGAACTAAAAATAGAATCCGCAAAATATTATAATTATTAAAGTCCATCAAACCCAAACTCCAAAACTCCATCAGTTTACAACTTGGGAATCCATCTCTAGTGGACCCCTATTAAACATCCAAACGAAAGATTTAACAACTGTAATAAACGTCCAGAAATAAAACTATAGAGAGAGCCCTACATCTTCAAAAGAGTGAATAGAGACCTCTGCTCAGCACGAACACGTCTAAGCCTAGAACTGTCGTGTACCTGAAAAATAGAAGTGGGTCAGGCCCACGCGCAAGTTCTATACTACTACAATCCAAACAGAGGCCCGATACGCATGTACATCCTAAACAATTCAACAATAGCTAATAGTCCGTAAATATATATATATAGTCACACTAAAGGACTCTCACTGGACTACAGGCCGGTCTCAACCTGAATAGAGGTAACATGCTAAAACGCACACGAAGTGGGCATATGTACCTATACCTAAACAGGGTACACCTCCAACCATCGTAGCCAGCTACACATCCCGATGCAAATACGCTCCCTAGCCATCGGTCCTGAGGCTCAAGCTCATACCGAGGCACCATAACAGTACATATATAAAATCCATCCAAAATCCCTGGTATTGCCGCTCAACAAGTAGTTGCCATGACAATACAAATCCACGGGACTTAACTTTTAGTTAATCCCATCCTTATTCCAAGTAGGTGGGTAATGGTATTGTTTTAAAAACCAAACCCATCCTTAGTATGCCACCGTCCCATACCGATGCCTACTTTCCAATCCTCCAGTAGTCAATAATACCAATAAATCAAGTATATATCAACTAAATTCCAACATCCAACATTCAATGTTAGTAGTGATAAAATAAGCATTGATAAACAGGGTCACAACAACAACATATACATGCCCAATTTAAGTTGTTCCCTTTAGTCTGATATAAAGATAGAATTAATTAAAACTTCCATTTAACACCTTACAAATGACATACAGATATGTAGGGTATGTATCACAAAATCCTAACCTCCACAGTTGATACTAACTGTGATAATGTAAGCATCAAAACAATATTCATAGTATGTATGTAGACATGCTCAAATTATAGTGTTTCATAAAACTGATCTAGTGTTAAACTCAAATCCTCCTAGTATTTAAGTTCCAACAGTTGCTATTACAGAAGTTAAGATAGCTATCATCTAGACCCATCCTTCCAATAATTTATACTAGCAGTGGTAAGGAAAAACGTGAACCACAAAACCACAATGCATCCACAAACATGCTTAGTCTAGGTTGAACAGGCATACAACACTACTGTAACTACCAGTTTCATAGCAAAACAGATATCATTTTAGCTTGGTTTAATCTTCATTAATCCTGATATCATTTAAGAGTGCAAAGCGTATGAAGCCTAAGAAAAAGAGTAAGGATAGAATATTGCCTCAGAAACTTTTGTTCAAAGTTTCAACGTCGTCTTCTTAAAAAATCCCGGCGAGTTCCAAAACCCGGTTACTGTTCACGGGTACGAAACACTATTCCCGAACTCAAAATCTGATCTCCACCGTTCAGATTGTGCGACACTGAGTCATGAACCTATCCTCCAAATTTCAGCTCGATCGGACCGCGGACGAAGCAGCATCGATGTTTGATGAAATCTGGGCAGAATGGAAAAAAAAAACCTGTGCGACCCAGTTACTGTTCACGAGTACGAATTACTGTTCCTGAGGTCAAACTCTAATCTCCACCGTTCAGATTGTGCGTCACTGAGTCTTGAACCTCTCATCCAAAATTCAGCCCGATCGGACCACAGACGAAGCGGGATCGGAGCTTTGATCAAACCTTGGCAGAATGTGAAAAACTGCGTTTTTCCTTCTCCACTTTCACAAAACGTGTGCTTTATTTAAAAAAACCCCACACAGACGTCTACCTTATACTTATAGAGTTTTCCTAAACCCTAGGTTTATTTAAGTCCAACTCACAATCCTAACCGGCCCATCCAATTAACGTAGAAACCTACGACGGCTATAATATAAAACCCTAATTTATACTGTAATTAAAACCCTAGTTAGATGTATTTACCTAATTACCCTATTCACCATTAAATACTTAACAAATAATCTAATTGAACAAAATAATAATTAGTAAACCCAATTAAACCCAAATAAGACACACATAGAATAATTAAACTAATTACACTTAAACCATTAATGCCAATTAAATAATTAAAACACTAACAAGTAATTCCAATCAAATAACTAAACCAATTACACTTAAATCATTAATGCCACTTAAATAATTAAAACACTAACAAGTAATTCCAATCAAATAACTAAAAATAAATATCATTTAAATAAATTAAATCACCACAAAAGAAAACAATTAAGCACCTAATAAAAAAAATAATGACACATAATCAAATAAAATGCACTTAAATAATAAATTAAATACCATTAAATACCAGGAATATCCTTTTTAAAATTAGGGGTATTACATTCTTCCCCCCTAACAAAAGGAATTCCGTCCTCGGAATTCACTCTTACCTTCTTTCAATATTTCAGGAAACCGTGAGCGAATGACATCCTCTCGTTCCCAAGTGGACTCAGACTCATTGTGATGACTCCACTGAACACGAACCAAAGGAATAACCTTATTACGAAGAATCTGATCTCGTCGGTCGACAATACGACACGGTGGCTCTAAATAAGTTGCATCCGGCTGCAACGCAATCTCCCCAACATCGATATGCTGATACCGATCCTCATCTCGAAGAAATTTCCGCAACATGGAAACATAAAACACGTTGTGGACGCGATCCAAAGTATCCGGAAGTGCCAACAGATAAGCAACAGCTCCAATGCGATCCGTAATCATGAATGGACCAACAAATCACGGTGACAACTTCCCTTGCTTCCCAAAGCGCATAACACCCTTCATAGGAGACACTTTGAGTAGAACCTGATCCCCAACCTTAAACTCCAAAGCCCGAGTACGACGATCAGCATAGCTCTTCTGCCTACTTTGGGCAGTACGCATGCGATCTCGAATAGAAGCAATCTTTTCAGAGGTATCCTTGATGAACTCAGGACCTAAGAATTGATTCTCTCCAACCTCCATCCAACAAACAGGTGACCGACACGGTCGACCGTACAATGCCTCAAATGGTGCCATACCAATAGTCTTCTGGAAACTATTGTTATAAGCAAACTCCACAAGTGGCAAATATTCCTCCCAGTGGCCCTTGAAATCCAGAACACACAACCGAAGCATATCTTCCATAATCTGATTCACCCTCTCAGTCTGTCCGTCAGTCTGAGGATGATAAGCAGTACTAAGGTGTAATTCCGTACCTAAAGCCTGTTGAAAACTCTTTCAAAATCCAGATACAAAGCTCGAATCCCTGTCCGATATAATAGACAATGGAATGCCATGTAGCTTCACAATCTCTGAAATGTAAAGCCTCGCCAACTGCTCCGAAGTGTAGTCAGTGCAAATAGGCAAGAAATGAGCTGACTTGGTCAACCTATCCACAATGACCCATATGGAATTATGCCCCTTGAAAGAATTTGGCAACCTTTCCACAAAATCCTTAGATATGCTCTCCCATTTCCACTCCGAAATTGGTAGTGGCTGTAGAGCTCCTGGCGGCCTCTGATGATCAATCTTAACCATCTGACAAGTACTACATTGAGAAACAAAAAGAGCAATGTCCCTCTTCATACCTATCAAAACTACCGCTTCATATCTTGATACATCTTATCGCTTCCTGGATGAACAGAGAACTCAGAGTGATGAGTCTCAGTCATCACATCCTTCCTCAAATTATCAGCAGAAGGTACCACTAACTGTCCCTTGTACCTTAAAACTCTATCAGCCCCAACATAGTAGAATGGAACCTCTCCGAAAGCTATCTCTGCGACCTTGTCGACACACTGCTGATCGATGAGTTGTGCTTGTAAAACCTTGCGAATGATGGAAGGTGTAACCACCATGCAAGCCATAAAAGCATCCGATAACTCATCCACACTCTTTAAAGCATTCCACTCAGTAGTGAATAGAGCAGAAAGACTACCAACAGGTCGGCGACTGAGTGCATCCGCCACTACATTCGCTTTCCCTGGATGGTACTGTATAGAAAAATGATAGTCTTTTACAAACTCCAACCACCTGCGCTGTCTTATATTTAGCTCCCGCTGAGTGAACAAGTACTGCAGAC